GCTAATGCCAAAGTGCTTACCAACATCTTTGCTGCAAACTCCACCATGCACGTCCTCAACGCCAGAGTGCCGTTGATTCAAAGGGTTCCCTACACTATGCTCTTGTCGCTCGACATCAGAAAAGCTTCTGGCCCGTTCTGAATTCCTGCCGTTTTTTGCTAATGTCCAACTCATCGTAAAAAAAATCTAGACCGACCCTTACAACTACAGGCCTATAGCTCTGCTTTGTGCTATGAGTAAGTTGATGGAGAGGTGCATGAATCGGGAGCTTCTGGAGTACCCAGAATGTCACGGCTTGATTAGCGACAGGCAGTATCTATGGTTATCCTGTCTTATGATAAGGCTCATGTTGTTGCTCTTGATATCACGAAAGCGTTCGATCAGCTGTGATATGCTGCCTTTTATGCAAACTTCCATCCTATGCCTCCCAGAGAAGCTTTGCAGATGGGTGGCCGCAAGATATCCATCATAATTGACGGGTTCTCCTCTTTATCCCACAACGTCAACGCGGGTGTTCTCCATGGATCGGTCTTGGCTACGACACTGTTCCTTTCTCATATCAACGCCATTCTTTCCTGTACGATTAGTCGAATCCACAGCTTTGGTGATGACATCACTCTACATGCAGGAATTCAGAGTGATAAGCCAATCTCTGCCGATGAGGTGGAGGAAAGAAGACTAGCAGCGACTTGAGATCTAGAACTAATCACTGCTTGGAGACGCAACAACCTTGTACATTTTGATGCTTCCAAAACACAGTACTGTACCTTGACGAATAAAAAGCGTCCTAGCGCTCATTCAGTTTCGATGGATGGTCTTCTACCCAAGAGAACCATTGATTTCGGCTGGTCGGAATCCGTGGACTTGATCTGGCAGGAGCACATCTCGTCGATAGTGGTAGCTGCTGAGAAAAAGCTAGGAGATGTACAAGGCCCAGAGAAGACCTAGCCCCGAGTATTGCTCACATGTTTGAGGTGCTACCACCCAAACTACATTATCCATGCTCGATGTTGTTCAGAGGAGAGCTGTCCGACAGACAGTCTCGAGACCTTTTTGCACTAGCGGGCCGTCGGCGATCTACCTCTCTTCTACCGCTACGCTAATGGGTTTTGCTCCTCAGAGCTCTCCTCCATGTTGCCGCCTTGCGATGTACCTGCCAGAGTGACCCGCCTCACTTCAGCCTCTCATCATAACCGTGTTGAACTTCATACATCCAGAACAGGCCGATACGACGGATCTTTTGTCCCTAAGGTATCGAGATGGTGAGGCAATCTTCATGAGGAGCCTTTTCCCAGTTCTACTGACCTTAGGTAGTTCAAAAGTCAGATTAACGAAGTTTCATCAAGCTCCTCATAGCAGCCGCGGTGGCCTGACATTTATGCTTCTGCCTGCGCGGCTATTTCTGTATTAAAAAATTATACGACAGCGATTAATCCAGTAGGAAGTTAATTAAAACAATACTTAGATTTCTAATGGAGCCTTCAATAAAAACCGAAGGTTTGGAGAAATATTGTTGAGCTCCTGGATGCAACTCGCTAAAGTCACATTACCCTTCCACAATCCCAGAAAGATTAAGCAGTGAAAAAACAGGTTAAGAATAGTAGAAATCAAACAGGTGTTACCATCATTATTTTACTTTGAACTTTGAGTGACTGGAAATCCTAGAATTCTTTGGAAATTGAAGGATATTAATTTCACCATGACCCTTTATATTGAATAATCGTTATTTCTAATTATTTCTCTCTTTAAAGTGTGTATGTGACCTTTTCAACAAAATACAATCCGTGTAGGTTATAAAATTAGCCTAAAAGTTATTATAGCTCTTTTCACGCTTCTTGGCGGTCACGTGCAATACGAAATAAGTAAACAGATTTAAGTGGTATCATTTGTAGCTCAACTTTCCTCACTGTACACTGTGCAAGGTAATACGTAACGCAGCTGCTACTCGTCCTTGCACACATTTGAATTGGGTGATCCAATCACTTTCAGAATAGACTTCTAATACAGACTGTCGACCTTGTAGTCCTTTTAGTCGTATCTTCGGACACTACATGTTTTATATTGAAGATTAGCATAAGTAAACACAAATCCAACACTTGACTTCACCGCATGTTTATCAATATTTCCTCGCTCAGAGAACTCGTTTGTCACATTAGCACTATAGAGAATAATTGTTCACCATTACTTGATGGAATACAGTCAAAAGTTATGAAAGCATGTCAGATTTATATAATAAGAGCTCTCTCACACGTTATAAATTTGATTTTTAAAACCGGCGTAGTTCCTTCACAATTTAATTTCGCATTGTCAGCCGGGTCACCACTGAGGCAGCTTGATGCCGCCGATAATGGTGCTATAGAAGTTTCTGGCATACAGTTCCAACAGATCGCTTACTGTTTTAACTTTGTTACTAGTTGATTCTGGTAGATGGCACTTCGAGATGTCTTATTTTGATATACCTCTCTTATTTACGATAGCATTTTCTGTCGCTGAAAATCAACCTGATTATAAAATTTTTATTCAAAGTCTTGAAAATGGTATTTTTTTATCTTCAGATAGAAATGAATTGCCCTTTTGATTGAACAGTTAACTTGTGACAATATATCAAGACATCTGCTTCACCTCATCGGGGTTGTCGATGATCAGATTTGTGTGCGAAGAGACGATGAACAAGAGCCCTTGGTCCACATTCAAGGTAGCTGTGAGACGGTATCAAAGACAGACCATAGTGATTGGTACTAGAAGGTACAAGGTGGGATATACTCGACAAATGAAATTAGTCCATCCTGTGTTATCTATTATTATTGTCAAAGACCCACTACCAAACGTGGAAAAAACCAGGTCAAACTTTTCGTCGTTAAAATGATCCGGTTACCGGTAACATGATACTTGCCTTTCTATCCTTTTACATAGTAAATTGGGCTAATCGATGGATCAAACTGCAACAAAACTAATAAATTAAATTACCCAGAAATCGATAGGTCTGCGACCCAAGCCTGACGTTACCGTGGGATATAGACCAGGATGTTAAGCATAAATAAAAAGGCGCTGTATAGAGGTAGAAAAGTTTTGGCTGAATAATTTTACTTGCTACGGTACTGGGCGAGAAAGTTTTGTAATCGCGAAAGATTTCGAAAATGAGATATTGTGTTTTTTGGAAGTTATATGATAAGTAAATCATGAAAACTCATATCCGTCGATGTGTATGTCGGCTTGTCTTGTCTGTCCGCTAATCCTTGGCCCGTCTATAACTTGATACTAGGATTTTAAAGAAATGTTCACATAAGGTTGCAGCTATGCCAAGGATGGAAAAGCGTGATAGTTTTTGATTGAAAATCGTGGTGATGAAGAAAAAATCCGAAAATAAAGGATATAAAAATCGCTCAGAATTCGTTTTTTGACGTTTCACAGGGGACATTTTTGTTATCTTAGTATATTCATACATTCCCAACTCTCCCAATTCTATGCACGTATTAGCACCTTACATTAACAACGATAAGGCAGGGAAATAATGTCTATGGACTAATTGTATGGCCTTGTTTGACTGACTTAATCCATGTAATTTCTCTGTTGTACATGTTCATAACTGAATTTTTTCTCAGAGGATTTAAATTAAACCCGATGACGACGTTGCGTACGAAGTTCAGAGTCAACCTTCTTGACGCTATTTTTTTGGTAAACAGTAAAGTTATAACTTTAACTTGAATAAAATTAACAAATGTAAGGTATTCGTGTAAGTGGTCCAGAGAGAAATTGTTGGAGATGAAAAGTCCTCCAAAACGGGGTCGTTCAAAATGTTCGAATTGATACATTTTTAAATGTACTTTTATCAAAATGAGAGTGATCGTATACGATTTCGTTTTGAGGTTTTTTTTATACCTTACAGGTCTTGTGTAGACAATTTATATCATTGCTTCATAGCTTTTAATGTGCAAAATGTTTTTTATGCAACTACTAGTATGACCATAAACAGTATCTCTAGTTTAGGGAACTTTTCATTTAATCTGAAGAATATAATCGTTATAAAACGGTTTATATATTTTTTACAGACAGGGTTCACTTTTGGCTAGTTAGCCTGATCTATAACGGATCTGGAGGATAACTAATACCGGGTAAACGTGTTTTCATCTCGTAACTCTGCAGAGACAATTTTTGCCCTTTTTCTTTTGGAACCATTTAGCTTTTCAATTTTCTGGATAATTTTTCACCGTCGTCGCGTAGCTGCCCTTTGATGAAGCATGATGATCTTTCATGTCTGGAATGAGTTATTGAACATTTTTGATAAAATCTGAGGAACTCTTTAAGAGGTATATATTATGGAAAAATGTACAAGATGATAAGAGCTTATCCAGTCCGAAGAGTCAGCGCAAGCTGATGACAATGTTATACGAGTAGAAGATATCCAACATATTCGGTAGTAAACTTTCGGACTCGAGTCAGTAACAATACAAAAGAATTATTTTTTATCATGGTTCCTTAATATTTTTTAACTACATTGCATTTGTATATGATAAAGTAACTATCTAGAAGTTTTTATAGAAAAAATTAACAAAGCATAACCTTATTTGTACATGCAGCTAAATACCATAGATGAAAAGGTTCGTTTTTTTAAAACTTAAGAAAAAATTCTATATCTCAAAAGCGGTGACACTTTTTTTTATATAGGTAAGTTTTTGTTATTTGGGAGATCAGTCCAAAGCCTACCTTCTCCTTAGTTTGTCGTGGTACTTATTGGACACCCTTTATACATATGTGTATATATATATTAATTTATTCCATTATGGAATATAATTTAAAAAGGTATGTTTGCTATGGCACGAAGTTATGGAACACTAGTAACTATCAAGCTTACCACGAAGACAGATAATTGATATTTTGTCCAGTTTGCTCATAAAACTAGTTTCCATTTTCATTGAAACAATCTGTATATATGGCTGACTGTAGGAATAGTTTTCAGCTTTAACATGTCTACTTTGTACTAACTCCCGTTTTTGTTGCAGCTCCTTTATATCCAGCCAGCAGAAAATGTTGCAACGACTTCACTCGTAAAAATCCGGTTGCTCTTCGTCCCGTCGCGTAATCGACTTGAAAGACACACCATGAACATTACGTGGCTTCTAAATAGCTTCGTTTACCATTTCTCATCCAAGATGCAGTTTCACAGTGTTCCAATCCGCTGCTAGTGCCATTTCAATGCATCCTCGCTTACCATCCCCGCACAGCACAATGCGGCACACCCGGTACAAGTGCAGACGGCCAGCGAACAATGACCGAATGGTATCATCGGATAGCTTACTCAGCGCAACTGGAAACGCTTCATTGCGCAAGCGCAGCATAGCCGTGAATGCTTCACTTCGCAGCACGCGACTCGTCAGCGCAGATGTGAACAGCATATCTGTAAACCGCTCAATGCACAGTGGGATTGTGCAACCGTCATTACGCAGCGTGGCGTTAGTGTTGGCTTGCTTTTGCGCAGGCGCGGCTAGCGGTTTTCTTTTGGACGGTTCGGCGAATTCGTACGCGCAGTTCCGAAAATGGGGAGGCGGCGCGAACGGGAGTTTGGAGTTCGAGTTTAAGACGGATCAGCCCAATGGTCTGCTTTTATACACCGATGATGGAGGAACGTACGATTTCTTCGAGATCAAGCTGGTGGAAGGGGCGCTTAGGCTGAGATACAATTTGGGTGGAGGAGCACAGATTATCACTGTTGGTCGGGATCTGAACGATGGTCACTGGCATAAGGTAAATTTTTAATATTTTGAGAGATAGTAAGTCCAGTTTAGGATTAAATTATTGATTAGAAATATTGACCCATTGAATATTTGGTCTATAATAGTAATAGTAAAAGTCTTTTATTGAGAGCGAAGTTCAGCTTGAAGCTATTCTGCCACTTAAGCCTTGAAAAGTATAAAAAATAGAATAACAATTGTAAACATGTAAAAGTAATATACCTAAGTATACTTACTGGATGTGACGGAGATATTCTAGAGGGTGATTCCTTGTCAGAAAATATTAATAAACATTCTATAAACTAGAGTTTTCAAGATACAGGGTATAGTATAGTATAGTATAGATCACATCAGTCATTTAGGTCGCTATAAATACCTGAATATCTCACACAAGACTTGAAGATATTTTAAAGCAGTAGCGTTCACTTGGATATCGGAAAGAATCGCGTCCGTGGAACTGTTGGTGGTGTACTCTGGAGCCGCAGGGTGGTTTTTAACCATTTTGTCCCATATGTTCTGTGACATTTGTGTCAGAAATTGTAAAAGTCGCAGGGCGCTAAGAACAAAGCAGTAGGATATAACTAGGCTGAAGGCAAGAAAAAGAACATTATAGAAGAAAAAACAGTACCGCATTTGATATGAGTCAAGGTGTAAGAAAGAAAAATAAAAATCAAAATCATTCAGAAGGAGAGGAAGAAAAGGCAAAAGAAGGAAAAGCAATACAATGTAACAATAAGGAGGAGGTATTATTAAATGACATCTTAAAAGCAAAAGAACAGATCATCCTATCCAAAGATGAAATAATTCTGGCAAAAGACATAATAATAAAGGAGCTATAGGAAAAAATTTCCTTACTGTATGAAAAAATTGCAACAATCAGTTGCAAAACCAATGGTAAGATAGAAGAAAACACCGATCAAGATATTTGTATCAACAGAACAGAAGCTTTGAAACCGTCATATAGTTCAGTGGTGAAAAAGGGAAATACAAGTTCTAACAGCATTATTATAAAACCAAAAGAAGTACAACAAGTCATGCAAACAAAAAAAGATATTCTGAAAGTTTTAAAACCGACTGAGTTGAATGTGAAACTTACATGGGTAAAACAATCCGAAAATGGAACATTAAAAATTTGTGTGCAGATGAAGGTGGTGTTCAGAAAATAAATGAGGTAATCAATAAACAACTGAGCAGCTCATACAGTGTGAACAACGTAAGTAGTCAACAAAAACCTAAGATTAAGATAGTAGGTATAGAACAGATGGTTGAAAATACAGAACTTGTTAACATGACAAAACAAGAGAACATGTTTATTGACAGGGATGCATATATAAATGTAGTTAAAACAAATCAAATGAAGACACGATATTTTGACATTATAGTATCATGGAAAACGGAATATTATGTATTAATTTAACAATATGCTCAGTATATGAACACGTTAATTTGTTAAGATGCTACAATTGCAGCGGCTTCAACCACACTGCTAATAAATATACCGGAGAGATGTTCTGTTTAAAATACGGTGAGAGAGGACATAAAGCAGATATATGCACGAAATCAAATATATCTTGCCCAAATTGCTTGGAACTTAATAATAAATTTAAGTTGAATTTAAATATTAATCATTTTGCTTTTGACAAAGTAAATTGCACAGTAATCAGGAAGAAGCTTGAAACAGCAAGAAGCAACATAAATTACTCTATATAGTAATCAAACGACAAGTCAGAAAATTCATCGAAGAGTCCAATCATTGCTCACAATGAAGGCGTCACGAAAAATTGTAGCACGCAAAATGTAGCAGATGTGAATATTCGATCACTTATTCCTAGCTTTGATATGTTTTCAGACGTTATGCTAGAGCAGAACCTTCATATTATAGCACTAACAGAGACTTGGCTTACACATGATTTTCCTTCGGATTTAATTACTCTGCCAAATTACCAGTTCATTAGAAATGACAGAGAAGAAAGAGGAGGTAGAGTATGTTTTTACATCTAGACCAACATAAAATCATAGATTGTAACAACATTTGGCAATGAACAAATGTGGTTATCGCTAAAACTAAATAATAAGACCATTGCGATAGGTGTTATCTATAGACCGCCATCTATTGCATTAAGTCTCTTTTCTAGCCTTGAGAATAACCTTGCTTCTATATGCATTACCCATGATGAAGTTATACTGATGGGCGATGTGAATATTGACCTCACCGATAAGTCTTCCAGTCCCAGTAAAAAATTTTTTCAAACCATGGCATTATTCAATCTCGTTCAGGTTATTAATGAACCCACAAGAATTACCAAGAATTCAGCTACAAGGATTGATGTAATTTTTGTATCAAATACATTGCATGTGCGCAAGAGTGGCACTATAGGCATGGGAGATATAACTGATCACAGGTTATGCTGCTGTGAATTAATGATTGAAATTCCAGAATACACTCCTACAACATTTTATTGTCGTGACTTATCCCACTTTAATTATGATGAATTTGCTGAGGATGCAACTGCTGTGAGCTGGCATGATTTAAATAATCTACAAAGTCTTGACGACAAAGTCCTCCATCTTACTGAGAACATTACCTTGCTGTATGACATACATGCTCCGATGAAAAGAATTACACCTCATAAGTTCTACAGGCCGTACGTCACCTATACAATAAAATGTATAATAAATTTAAAACGAAAAGCTTACAATAAATTTAAAAGAACTAGATCTGAAACAGATCGATTGTTTTATAACGATCTTAGAAATTACTCAGGTGTGGCTTTAAGGAATGAAAAAACAGCTTATATAAAATATCAACTAAATAAGAACAGGAAAAATCCCAAGCAACTATGGAAAGACTTCGCTAAATGGAATATACGTCAGTTTTAGTCAACACAAATTCTTGGGAAAACTCAATTGGCATTGAAAATGGTAGTCTAGGAGGGCTTGCCGTCCTTGTGGGATATTTTAAGCATCAGTGCGCGTTAACTCTAAGATTTTTTTGTAAACATGTCGAATTACCACAATGATTCGATGTATTACTACCAATCTTCACACTCGCTCACTGGTGAATACTCCACTCGATAGTATTCTCCTATTTGACATGGTGATCTCATAATAATTCTAATTAACTTGTAATACCAGTGTTTGAATTATATTAATCAGAATTTCCTTGGGATGATTGCGTAATATCTGATTTTAAATCTCAATATTAGTACTTCATTACACTAGAATATAAAATCCCCAACAAAACTGTAAAATGACTGTCAAACTTGAGGGTTTTTTGTACAATGAGTCACGCAACAACCAATCATCAAAGCTATTCTATTGGAAGGGTATTTTTCATATGTAATAAAATATGAGGCATTCCATTTGAAAAAATGTCAAAATCTGTCAAGTTTCATTAGACTGAATATCTCATATTTTATTGCACATTGCACAAAGAAGAAGTTTGATATAACGTTTCGATGATTAGTTGTAGATTTATATGCGATTCAATATACAAAAACGCTCAAATTTGATTGGCTTCTTGTCCACCATATTGAAAGATAGTGATTTTATATTCTAAGGTTATAAATTATCCATAGAAATGTTCAAAGTACGACATCACACCTCATGTTGTTTAAAAATTGCTACATGATGATGCTCAGTCGCCATCGAGAAACTTCCCTTTGTTATTTTTTTATTATTATTTATCTACCAATTTCATCATCTCGAATTTCAATCCACTAGCTCAACTCATTCAAACAAGTGTGTGTGTGAAAAAACACTTTATAAGTAGGGCAACTTCAAAGCTGGACAATTAATTAAAAGCTGAAAGAGCTTCTTTTTTCGATAACAGATAAGTACAAAAAATAATTGGCAATAGCAGTGACTCGTTTAATTAGCTACATAAACGACATTTATATCATGATATTTATATACCTACTATACGTGAGTAAATTACTACTTATCGAAATTAGCTAATCGGGCATTAACACTGAATGAACTCTTGCACCAAGTCCATGAAAACTTTGGTCCATCCTATCTTTTTAAGCGAAAATTACAGTATATGTTGTGACTGTTACCTGAAATGTACTAACCTTAGACAGTTCAAAATTCGGATTAACAAAATTTTTGGCATATAAGTTTTTGCCTGCGCGGCTTCTTCAGTGTAAAAAACCTTCCATGTATAGAAAACTGACAGAAACTGATGTTGTTTGAGTTGCTATATGTATTTACGTAAATGATGGTCTGTTCAAAACGGACTATTATAATTCTGACGAAAGGTAACTACGGGGAGAACATTAGGTGCGGGAAGCTTATGATTTATGCATGTAATTATTTAATTCAGTAGCATCATGCCCGTAGATCATCTATTTTCCTTCTCCTTCTGGATGGAAAAATTAGACTTCTGATCACGTTTCTGTCCACTTCCAGGTGCACGTACAACGCCACGAAGACCGCACTATCTTGACGGTAGATGGCGTATCCCAGATGCGCACATCACGTGGCAAAGAGTTTCGATTTGGACGTTTCGCCACCAATTCGGACGTGTTCGTAGGTGGAATGCCCTCGTGGTACAACACCAAGTTGACGCTGCTCGCATTGCCCAGCGTCATATTCGAGCCCAGGTTCGTCGGAGCGGTCAGGAACTTGATCTATCCAGATACGGAAGGTGGGACGCCCAGAAGGCAGGAGACGAGGCCGAAGGACCATAGGGTGAGTGCATGAATGCATATTTCAAATTTAATGAAATAAACAAGACCTCTGCATAACTTATGGGTAGGGAGTAGCATATACTTCCTTCTTTCAGATTGGAATAATATACATAACTCAACTACTTCACACAGGAAATGAATACAGATTTACATTTAGCAGGAGCGAAACACAACATTGTTTACTAAAATCAATATTTTGCAAAATTGGAGTAGTTTTATTTCCTGCAATTTTGGGAGACATGTTCCACTTAGAAGAAATAGATATAATGATTATATGTGTGCGTTGAGCATAGCATTATTTGTACTTTCAAGTATAATGAATCATTGATTCTCAAAAGATTTTAGAAGGTACATTTTTGAGAACATACATAAAATGTAATCTTTTTTTTGATAATCCGTGGCCATCAACCCGAAGAGAGATTGGTACCTGGTATCGGTAGCGCATTTTCCCTTCTTCAATCCCTAATTTTACTAGAAACCACATTGTAAGTTTTTGCAATTTCTGAAAGCAGCTTGACTGAACTGGTGCTGCGCCATCCCTTGGAATGGTGCGGTATTAACGCATGGAACAACCCGGTCCTGTGGCCATTCTAATTCCAGGTTGCTGTTTTTTCCTCAGTATAAACTAGCGTTCCAGTGGCTCCGGCACTGGTCCAATAACGCAGTAACCGATGCTTTGATACACCAATCATAATCAAAGAAAGTCACCTGACAATAACAATTTATCGCTTAGAGAATAGTACAGCAATATACCGACTAGGAGTGCTGTAATTTTGAGCATACTTTTACAAGTCTTAGGCTTATTGATAAATAGAAAGTGATTAAAATTTAAACTCGACATTTCGCAAAACAGCTGAGATATCCCACCTTATTGTTAATAATGTGTTGGAGCTCCTCTGTTTGCTACACATTGGTTAAGTCGTCGCGGTATTGATTTGATTAGGTGATTGATGCCTTCTTGATGTATCCCAGGCCATCTGAATTTGGTTTCGTAGATCCTGCAATGTTTCTGGAGGGTGTACTGAATTTTGCAACATTCTTCCCAACATGTGCCATACATGTTCGATGGGGGAAAGGTCTGGAGATCGAGGAGACCACTGATACGCAGATTTACTCCAGACACTTCTAAAAAGTCTAAACTATCACGTGGGACATGAGGTCCTGCATTATCCGTCTGTAATAGTATATCTTGCAATGTTTGTAAAACTTCGTGGATATAGCGCTGGACAGTCATGCTACGTCGAATGAGCACTAATCCTGACCTGCTGCAGTAAGCAATGGCACCCCATACCATAACACCCACAGTGCGATGAATATGCCGTTCGATGGAATATTGGTCTTTCACCACGTCTCCTCCTTACCCTTCCACGGCCATCATGTGTGCCCAAACAGAATCTGGACTCATCGCTGAACACGACTGGGTTCTATTCCATATTCCATTCAAGTATCTCCCTACTCCATACCAATCGTTGTACACGATGCTGTGGGGTCAGAGGTAGGACAAGATGGAGAAGGTATGAAAACAGTCCTAAAGTTGTTTTTTCTTTTTACACTTCAACCACCACGAAGGTCTAAGGTCTAAATACCCATGGGGCTATGGGGGGATACAGGCGCCACTCGGACTCTAGCGAGAGAACACGTGTGCATGCAGCATCCATACATTCTGGCTCCGCCAACGAGATCCGCCGAGTGGTACCTCCTCGTTCGACAGTCAGTGACAGTCTAACTAGGGACATTTTCAACATCCATAGCCAAGAGAAAACTCCTCTTGGGACGGGATTCGAACCCGCGCAGCGCACGGCGACTGATGAGGAGACCGTAGCGTCTACCACTACGCCACCGCTGCTGTTGTGGAAAATCAATCTCTAAGTGCTAGTAGCTTCAAATAACGATCATGTCGCTCTGTAGTCTGTTTTTGACGTCTAGTACCTCTAGCTTTGGCGTTCTTGGAACCAGGCTCGACAACATCTCATTACAGTAGCTTCCTTTCGAGTCACCCGATTAGCAATTTCTCTAAAAGAAGAGGTTGAGTGACATTAGCGCGTCTGAGAACTCTAGGCATGATCATGTAATGAAACAACAATGAAACAAATGGATCCAACACAGAAAAATCACTGAATATTAAGTAAATATTATGTTGACGGGTGACGGGTGACGGATGATGGGTGACGGATGACGGGTGACGGGTGACGGATGATGACTGATGACGGATGTCGGATGACGGATGATGACGGATGATGACGGATGAAGGATGACGGATGATGACTGAAGACGGATGATGACTGAAGACGGATGATGACGGATGACCATATAGCATACGCCTCTCTAGACGTAGCGTGGGGAAATGGCGGGAGTAGATATGATCCTCTTTAGGAAGGTGACGAGGTGGCGCTCGTGTCGGTTAGAGACGCACATGTTGCATATCTATTCCATTCAAAAATCATACGCCTCGCTAGACGAAGCGCGGGGAAATGGCGGGAGTAGATGACGGATGACGGATGACGGGTGACGGGTGACGGATGACGGATGACGGGTGACGGATGACGGATGTTGTAAGGCATTCGCCTTATCGTGTGGGAACGGTTAAACAAATTATTGTTATGAAAAAGACGTCTGTAGTCTCTGCAGCATGCTTTAGGTTCACATTACGCTGTCAGTGATGACATTGTCAATGGCAAATTGCCGTGGAAAGCAAACCTAACCTAAATCCCAGCCTGGTTTGTAAGCTAAAATTGGTTTTATATTTTTCTACTTTACACCTTTTATCTTTTTTATGTGATGCAGTGTTTTCCAATTGAAAAACGCTTTTTTGTATGCGGCAGTCCATTAGTTGGATAGAGATTGGTTGAACAAATAACTACAAAAAATGGACAGTTTACTGGGTTATTACTCGGAAAAGTTCGCATCAATTGGAAATATATTTTTGAAATATTCTCACAGTTCTACAATTTAGATCTGTAAGTACTATATAAAAAATATTGTACCTAATTTAGGTAGAAGTAAAGATTTCTTGATTAGACTACTTGCACTGTTTTCAGATTTGTTAGCCTAGTTCGAAAAAACTGGTAACAACATCAATACCATCCATTAAATCTTATTTACAGTTCTCCAATCGACTCATGGCTTGAATCGCACTTTATAAATATAATAGAAAAGGAAGATAAAACATCTACACATTACAGAAAGGAGTGAAACAATATCCTGATGTGATAAAAAAAGCCTGTACAAAAACAGAATGGCTCGGAATGCTTTCAAAATTTTATCAGCGTATACTTCAATGATAGCAAATATGTTCACAAGTGTTTATCAAAATCCAATAAATAATTCTAGATCTTTTAGTATATTATTGGAAATTGTGTTTGTAGTATACCGCATATCAAATGAAGTAGTGAAGAAGCCGTTTCTCCGTGGTTTTGAGAGATATTATAGTATATACTAGAAATTATCATCATTATAAGATGTTAGGTATAAATACTCCATTACTAAGAGCACAAAGATCCTACAATCAATTTTGTGAAGATGACTTGTTTTGTGGTACCACAACTCTTTTTAAGCGCAAAGTAAAATCCAAGTTTTTAAATCAATAATCACATCATACTAGTAATTTTTCAAGGTCAATATACAGGGTGTTTGGAAGATCGATAAAAAGTCTTGGGGAGGGGATAGGGCAGATCATTTAGAGTATTTTAAGCCAAACATACCTCAGTACAAAGTCTTACGGTTTTCGAGAAATTCGGATTTTCTAATTATTATATTAAAATTAGTAAACGAAACAAAATAAACTATTGAAATATGCTTTATTGGTCTTCAAAGTGAGAATAATTGTTTCTAATGCATGCTCGAGCTCTACGTGTTACTTCGGTAGTTGTTGTATTTAACAACCTGTCTTGCTGCGTTAAATAAAAACTTACTCGAATTTTTCTTATTAAATGGTCCCTTGATACGATTTCTTCAGTGTAAACTAACTCTTTAGCCCGCCCTCAGACATAGAAGTCCAATGGTGTCAAGTCTGGGGAACAATTTGCATGTCATGTGGAATTTGTACTCCTACAACAAGTGTAGATAACTGTCGACGTTTAATCTTCCAGGCAAAAAATGAGGACCAATTAATCTTTGTCCCACGACGGCGGCCCATACATTAACAAAAATTTGTCCTGGAAAGACACCTGTTTTTTCTAGTGTGGATTTTCCTGCTTATCAGTCCATTGATGCAAATTGTGAAAATTTGTAATGTCCTCCTTTCAAAAATTGGATTCGTCTGTCCATAGAATGTTTTCCAGGAACCGTTCGTTCTCAATGTCACTATGTAAGACAAAAAGACAAAATTGGCTTCTGCAAATAGGATCACCATCTTTAATTCCTTGAACGTCGATACCATCAAAAGGATATTTTCATTCACGGTGCATGATACTCCAAACCTTCCTTGGCGTCAAACCAAGATCAGCAGCAACTTTCCTAGTACTCGTAGTGGGATCATCTTCAAACGCTTAGAGGATTAGATCTTCGGCTTCAGGAGGATATCGACCTGGATTAACACCAGGTTCATTGCCTGTAAAGACGTCGGTAAGTATTGTGAAGATACTCTGACATTAGGCAATCTTGATATGGCAGAATAGTGCATTGGATTTAAACCCCAAATATAAAGTTTAAACTTTTTTTAGAAATTTTATCATGAAAAACACTACTTTTCTTGGTCAACCGTCGTGCTTCTAGTCCATTACCATCTACTCTGCGATACATGTAAACGATATCTGCGTATTTTTCGTTAGTGGAAGCAGCCATTCTACAAACTAATTAATTCAGGGTTTTTGGACTGAAATTCATGAATTACTATTTACTTGTTTGGGAAGGAATGAAGCAAGAATGAGTGGAATTTAGTTTTATCATGTGCGCAAGCACGTTCCTTCTTAACAGTATCACAAAAATAGGAAAACATGTATTTATTATTTATTTACAGTCAATTTGTTTTTCTTTTCTTTACCTTCGGAGAAAAAAACCACACTGTCAGGTATT